CCCCCCTCCTCCCGCGCAGCTTTCCTGGCTCTCGCCACGCTCTGCAACCCGGGTCTTCCGTTGGCTGGGTTCCCACGACCTGCTTGCCCAGGCTTAACATAGCCCAGACGGATTGCAGTGATTTATTTGCAGTGCTGCTTTCCCTGAGAGTTCAAGAGGGTGCCCATAAGAGCGCAGGGAGGTGGCTCAGGTCATTTTATCCCCACAGCGGTCTTGAGAAACGCAGCGAACCCCGTATTCTCCACCATAAATGAACCTGCCTGGCCTGGGTCTGCATACCAATCTAGGCCAGTGTTTTTCAAACTTGGCAACTGCAAGATGTGTGGACTTCCACTCCTTTGATGTCAAACTGACATCAGCAGCTACGTGGGTAACCCTACCAAACATTATTACTGTTATTAATAATGTTTAGGAATTAAAGGTAGTCCTCACCTACCGACCGCAATTGGGACTGGCAACTCTGTTGCTAAGCAACGTGGTTAAGTGAAATGTCATGTGACTGTGCCCGACTTACAATGTCGGTTTGTCAGTTCTGGCCGTGGGTGGCATCATGTAACCATGACTTGTGACCTCCGGCTGGCTTCCCCATTGACTTTGTTCGTTGGAAGCTGGCTGTGAAGGTCACAAATGGCAATCACTTGACCACAGGACACTGCAACCACCATAAATGTGCACTGCTTGCCAAGTGCCAAAATAGCGATCATGTGACTATGGGAACGCTGCAACAGCCACAACTTAGAGGACTGGTCATAAGTCTCCTTTTTCAGTGCTGTCATAACTTTGAATGGTTGCTAAACGAGTGGTTGGTAAGCAAGGACTACCTGCAATTTGATAAAGGCAAAATCTCTGAGTTGGGCTCGCTTCCTGGTGATTTCACAGACTCATTCCTGTAATCCATCTTGCAACAGCATGAATGTGATTTTTCACTGCTTTCTTCTTTGATATTTTTCAACTTAGAATCTTAGGTTGGGAGAGACCTTGGAGGTCTTCTAGTCCAGCCCCTGCCCAGGGCAGGAATCCTCGGACCACCCCAGACAAATGGCTGTCCAACCTCGGATTGAAACCTTTGCTTCTCACTCTAGTCTACAGCCTGGGATCTCCTGATGGTCTCTCATCCAAGGATCAATCTGGTTCAATCCTGCATACTTTGTTTTTTTCCAGATGAGCCAAGGCTGGCTTGGCTCTGGCACCTCCTTGAAGGCTCCCTTGAGTTGGGCTTGACTCCTGGTCAGGTCAAGGACACACCCGTGTCGTTTTCTTAGCAACAGCTCTTTCAGCCAGGATGTTCTTTTCAACTTCATATCCTTGGGGTCTCCTGGTGGCCTCCCATCCAAGTACTATCCGCATTCAACTCTGCTTAGCTTTTCTTCCAGAGCAGCCAAAGGCAACCCAGGGGCTGTCAACTCCCTGGGCAAAATAAAAGCTCCCTCAAGTGGAACTCCTGGCGACTTCGTGGAGGCGTTTCTGTGGTTAGCTTGCCAGCGATACCAAAGTGGTCGGCCGCTACTTCTGCTTCTGAAGAATCCTGCAGAAGTGGAGAGAGAGCTTGCATTCCTTTGAAGGGTTAAATAAACTAACGCTGATGCTTCCTAGAGAGGAAGGAAGGGGGGGGGGATATAAAAGGGAAGGAGAGGAGGGGGTCCTGGGGGGTAAATGCAGCTTCCAGCTTGTCTTGTGCCAATGTTTCTGGAAAAGTAGCTGAGATGCATGGAACTGTTGCAAGCGGCCGGCATCGTTTCAGCTTCCTTGCTCGGCCAACGTCCACCTCCCACCCCCATTCCTTTTTGGGAAATAAGAAATCCAGCACTGTCTTTCCAACTCTAAGGAAATCAGGTAAGTTCTCCCTGTATATCTCTCCAGCTGCAAGAGAACCCCTGGAGCTTTTGTAGGGGGCTGGGGGAGACAGGGGAGGGGGAGGAG